TCGGGCTAGCAGAAGTTCATACAAAGCCACCAGATGCAGAGCATGACTGAGCAGCCTGCCCAGCAAAGCCTTCAAAGAAAGCCAAGTCCACCCAAAGCCCCTACAGAAAGAAGGTGGTGAGCCACTGGGGTCGTCAGCCGAGCTGGTACAGAAGCACTTCTGAGCGCAATGGAGGTCAAGCCAGCACGCTGCTTCAGTAGATGGTGTTTTTCCGAGTGAGCAGCAAAATGTCGGACCGCGGGGCTTCTCAGCAGCAGAGGTCTCCCTGACCTTATGCACGGTATGCGAAACGAAGCCAAGATGCAAACACAAGCCGCTCGCAAGACAGAGAAAGTAGCAAAATGCAACCATGTAAGCGCCCGTGATGCTGCGGTTGAGCAACTCCCCTGGAGACTTGGTCTCGGCACGAGGGTGGTGTGCTAGCTCGCTTGTGATCAGAGCCTCTGAACTACGGCTGTTAAGAGTGGTATCGGATCCCAGAACTGTACAGGGCAGCGGCTGAATAGTGACGAAAGTAGGCATAAAGTCAGTCATGCCATGGCAGCTTTCGATCAGTTTCCGATGAAGCCGCCCTCTCAGTGCATCTAGCCGTGCATCGGGAGAGATGGGATTTGGCTCTGTGCCCGACGACGAACTCGGGGTTCTATGAGCCAGGTGTCTGTCCCAAGATGCCAGCATGGCCGCCTGTGGTGCCACATGTCCAGCGCGGTCCCTCCGTGGTGGGGGCGGCGGCGGTGGGGGAAAAGTAGGTGCGTCGAGACGTCGATCCAGAGGTTTGCGAGCAGCACCTTTGGCACTTGCCGTTAGCTTGATCGTCGTCTGTATGCAGGCTCGCTCTCTCTTTCCCGGTCGATTTGCTGAGCGAATTTTAGTGGCTTGACTTCGTCTGCTTTGCCCCATGGCACCACTGTTCCCGAAAAACGAGGATATCTGGAAAACTGAGTTGGGCCCAGAAGCATCAGCACCCTCAGCAAATGCAATTGAGTGAGGTACCGGACCAAACGAGCATTTGCGATCTGGTCTCAGAGACATACAGTCGTACGGTTGATGCCTTGGCAGAATTTGAGCCACCCAGAATTCACCTGAGTTATTGGAATACATCCCAGGCACCAGTCCCACAAGAGACATGCATAGACAGAGCATCAGACAAAAACGCCCTCTAGGACGCCCTTCGCCACCTTGAGAGGCAACCTGAAGTGCACATCTAGAGGCGAGCAGCCAAAGAGGACAGCACAATGAACGGCACACCATGACTGAGCTATCCAGCCACCCGGGCAGGCACGTCGGCAGCTTCATAGGGCTCGCGGATATACGTTCACCCAGCAGCAGAGGAACCTGAACACACAATGTACACCCAAAGTAGGGCAACAGGCCCGGCATCAAGCAGAAAGGTATGGCACAAGCAAGAAATTGACACGCGAATCCGTGCAAGGCCCTGACCTGTGGATTGTGTCCGAGCTGGACAGTGTCGAAGGAGCTGAAAGGACAGCGCAAGGCTGCCCGCACCAGCATTTTACAGCATTGACGAGTGCCGCGCTGCAAGGTCCGGACCGGCGGCGGGTGTGTGGCGGGTGGGTATCCAGGTGACCTGGTGGAGTGCAAGTCTGAATGAGTCCTAAAGAGAAGAACAGGCAAGCAAAGATCAGGCCCCAGCATTGAGGTGTGATCCTCCTGGTTTCTCCCCATCTGCGGGGTAGTGGGAGGCGACTGGAAGATCCCTCCGGAGTTCGTTTCCGAGCTGACCGAGCTGACCAAATCACTGGTGTCCGTACTGGAGCTGCTGCTGGATGGTGCTTGCTTCGGCTTCGGCTTCGCTGGCTTAGACCTGGGGCGCGTCTGTGGTTTGGCTTTCGCCTTGCCTTGACGAGCCTTCGCCGCCCTTTTGACCACCGAGGCCTTCGGCTTGGGGGTCTCATTTGGCCTTGTGCTGGTACTCGAGCTGCTGGAGCTCGAGCTGCTAACTCTACGTTTGGCGCGTGCTTTCGTCGCCCTGCTTTTGGGTCTTTTGCGAGGTGGCATGTCGCACTTCGAAATCTCTGTCGCCTTCAAATAGCAACTGCCCCAAGATCGCAGTGTAACTTGGTCCTTTGACCATGCCCGGGCTCTAGGCCGATAGTGAAGTGCACCAAGGCCTCCGGAGTCGTCTGAAAGTTGGCGTTGGTTTCGGGGTGAGGCTGATTGAGGCCCAGACTCGCGGGGATGCAAAGGCACAGTTTGGGAGCGACCTGCATGCTGCCACAGCTGGGTACCACCTGTTCCATACCGACCGGCTAGAAGCCCCGCGGGTAAGGCACCACACACAAGACTTTGAGGTACTGATATGTGGTTCGAGTGGCTCTGCTGACAGCTGCTGTCAAGTCCCGGGCCTTGCTTCGAAGAGGAGTTCCCACCTTCTCGAAAATCACCTGAGCATGGATGCCACACCAATTGTAATGTCCTGCCCTGCTGCCGTGGTAGAGCACCACAGGCGCAGAGATGAGGTCCGGACCCGTAGCTACACAAGGGCACCGTTTGGGAACTGCCTGGATAACGACCTGTGCATTGCCGAGGGTTCTTTTGCCGCGGCGGTAACACATCACAGTTTCCTGATCGAGGCCTTGGCAAGATCTTGGGCACCCGGAATCCACCTGAGACATTGGTGAGCATGTTGGGCCACCGTGGTTGAGCACCACAAGCGCAGAAGTAAGATACATACTGGCAGTTGCACGATCGATTCTGCCAATAACAACCTAGGTACATGTCAACTGAAAGCTTCGCCCTTGGTACTCCGCCACAGGCGTTGGCAAGACCCAGGCCTGGTTGTGATGAGGTCCCGCCTTCGCGAAGATCACCTGAGCATGGTTGTCGCAGGAGCTGTAGTGCCCTGCTCCTCTGCCGTGGTGACACACCACAGGCGCGCTGTTGGGGTGCAGACCTGTAGCTGCTGGAGTATTCCAGCCCGCAGCAACCTAAGTGTTTTAGTCGATCATACAGGGATTTCACCCCGTCACTGCTGTTCATGAGAGTGCGGCAGACCCGAGATGATTCAAGCTGAGTGCTCGGGCCGCGGAGCACCGCTGGCCCAAGAATGTGAGGCCTATTGTTGCACTGGTTCCACGGTAAGACGTTATCTGCCTCAATCCCAGTAGGCTCTCGGCAATGCGGAGGAAGTGCAGGGCACGATGGGCACACACAGCGAAGCTCACATGAATTCTGAAAAGCAGCATGGCTTAAAAACTGCCGGGCCTCTGACGTGCAGTGGCTCGAGCAAACCTGCCAACAACAGCCTAGGCGCATGCCAATTGAGGGCCAAAGCTGTGGTACGCCACCACAGCCATTGCCAAGTCCCAGGCCCTGCTTTGAAGAAGAGGTCCCTCCTTGTCGAAGATCACCTGAGTGCGGGTGTCGCTCGAACAATGGTGTTCGACTCCCCTGCCGTGGTAGGACACCACAGGCACGTGGTTCAGTTGCAGACCTTTGGCTGCTCGAGTGTTCCAGCCCACAGCAGCCGCAGAGCACCGCCGGTCCAGAAACGTGGGACCTGTAGACACACTGGCTCCGCGGTAAGACACCGCAGGCTTCAAGTTCGGTAGGCCCGCGGCAGCGCCAAGGGAAGGGAAGACACGATTGGCACACAAAGCTAAGCTCACCTAAAGTCTGAAAAGCAGCCTGTCCTAAAAGGTGCACCAAAGCAAGGCCAGGTTTAGAAATTGAAGGAGCAGCCTGAACACGAAAGTGGATGACGCGACCTGCTCGCCTAACAAATGTTGCATGTGAGGGAGTCCTGTGCTGGGCGTAGAGACTCGCAAGCTGCCGTCTGCGCCGACTGTGTTGCAAGGATCCAGCTCTCTGTGTTTGAAGCAAACACGCCGTATCAAAGGAAACATGCAAGGTGGTGCTGCTACTGGACGGCTCTGCAAAATCACTGCAATGGAAAAGCATGAAAACAAGCATGAAAATCTGCGCTCGATGTCTGCTCATCACCGAAAAACACATGCTCGCCATGCCCCTCCCAGGACCGACTCAGGTGGCCGATGCTGAGATTTCCCACCGCTAGCCAGCTAGACCGGCAACGTTGAGGTTCCGTGCCCCGAGGCCTGTTCTAGAGCGCCCTTCTACAGTTAAAGCAAAAGACGAGGCTCCAGGTTGCGGCCACGACGGCACTTCAAAAGCGCAAAAGGCGCTTGAGCACAAAGGGGGCTTCTACACACCGGCAAAAACAACGATCACTGTGCTTCAGCCACACAGCTTCAAGTATGAACATGCCGCACTGTTGCGGCACACGACAACATCTGCAAGCTCCCACCTATCAAAACACGACACTGCAAACACGTGCCTCCCTGCAACACGCAACCTCACACCAGACAGGAGCAACGGCAAGCACACATACACAGGCACAAGACAACTTCCTCAAACAAAGACTCTATCGGATCCCCCTTTTCGCCCCTCCGGTTCGACCCGCGGGATCCTACCGAGTCCGGACCTTGAACGCAACAGGGAAACCAACCCCTGAAGACAAACCACGAGCAAGACCACTGGGTGCAAACGCTCTCTCTTTTTGAAAGGTGGTCGTAAGTACAGCCAGAATCTACACTGACCGCATGGCTAAAGGACTTGCTTAGCCAACATGAAGCATCAGCCTAAGAGCTGACAAACGATGCATCAGCCGCACGCTGACAGAAAAGTATCCCGACTCGCAGAGCAAGCGCCCGGCACGCCCTTTTTCATTGGCAGGGTCAGTGACACGCAAGGCAGCCTGCCTGGGTTGCTTGGATCTGCTTAGCGCAGACTTGCGAGCTCGTGAATTGCGAACCTCCTCGTAGAGATCCATTCCCGCACACAACAGGTCTTGCGTTACTACCCTTTCGAAGGATCTCAAATCGAATCTCACCCGCCGTTTGCTGTCGAATCTGCTGTACTCCCCGTTGGTGAGGGAATCGGCTTCCTCGTTTTGCAGTCGGGGCAGCCAGTGAAGCTTGAGATCTGCTCCCTGTCTTGCAGCTGCACTGCCAGTTCCATCAATAGAACGCACAAAGGGAACTTTGTAGTGAGGAGGCGTGCGACAAGGTTGCTGTTTCCTCGATTGTCTGTGGCTGCTGAGCACATGAAGCCATACTTCTCTCCAGGCGGCACTCCAAACGACACCACTGCAGCCAAGGTAGCCAGCAGCTCCCAGGATGCTGTCTGTCGATAAGCTTCACCTGCCAGGAAGACCCACGGCGCAGAAATGTGGTCTAGCCGCTCGGAGAACCACCGGCACTGCTTGGTGTCCTCAGAATCCAGCGCCCAGCCCGCCATCCAGACTTCGTTCCCTTCAGCTTTCGCGTCTGTCCGGAAGAGCTCCTTCTGTGTGGCATGCGGCCTACCGGCGCTGATCAGTCTGCCCTCTCCACCCAGCGCCTTTGCCAAGAACTTGAAGATCAATGAGATTGCACGCGGCATCTTGTAGCTACGTCGATGGTCCAGAACAGCTACCCAGGCATACACTGGTCCTAGAAAAGGCCTGGGGTGTCCCAGGGCAGACAACGCGAAAGATAAGCCTCCCAACACTGCACTGACATCCGCAATCTTCACGCACTCGGCCACAGAGGTCCGACTAAGCCAGTGCACGAGCCACTGCGCACGCTGTATGGAAAGCCCAAGAATGCTCTCTCTCAGGTTTAGTTCAAATCCAACCCAACCAAATTCGTCGCCTCCTCTGAACTTATGCCAGGAGAAAGGCAGCTCCAGTAGCACAAAGAAAAAGATAATCAAGCACACCTTCTCCATGCCATTCTCACCGATGCGCACCAGCCACAGAAGCTCGTCTACATACACGAGCATGAAGATTTCTGTTTTCCCCAACATGTAGAAAGCTGCACGACCAAGACCAGACATGAGACGTGCCCTTGTGTTGACCACCGACTCCGGTCTTGCAAGCTTGCAGGCCCCAGTCATCAGGCGCAATTTTGGCCAACCTGTGTGCATGCTTCACATCCCCAGTCAATCCAACACACGGCCCAAGCATCTCTGGCAACACTGTACGCAATTCGCCTGCACACGGCGACCGTAATTGATCTCGTACATGCATGGCCGAATTCACGGCAATGCCATGCGTGCCATCATGCACAACGCGATACGATCCGTCCTGTTTCTCAATCGCGCCTAGGGATGCTACAGCCAGCTTATCCCCGAAGTGCCTTTGAGCCTCCTGCGTCGTGACCTCGACCATGGCTCCAACAACTGCCTCTGCTTGAAACTGCTTGTGTGCTCCCTTGCCGACAAGTAGTTCTCTCGTTCAACACCGGACGTACAAGATTCGACATCGTATCTTCGCCACTTCTCCTTCTTCTCGAAGAATGCAGGTACGCGCGGCAAGGTGAATTCAGGGCCCAGACGCACGCCTTTTGCAAACGAGACACTGGAAGAAAAGAAAACCCTGCTGTCGGGGTCACCCGAGATACGGAGAAGCTCTTCAATAGCTGCCAGTTAGAAAGGTTGACCTTCTGGCTTTTCCCTGACTGGAAGCTTGGCACCAGTGTACTCCAAGGCAGTGAAGAGTAATTCCCGTCCTTCCGCGATGAGATTCGAGCTGAAGGGATTAGCCGTGATCTTACCCTGCACCAGTTTTGCTGTCAAGCTCTTCAAGTCCATATGTCTGGCCAGGATCTTTAGCAGTTCCTCGCCGAGGCTCTCAGCGAACCCCAGGGACGGTGTGTCCTGTGCACATCTCCGTCTGCTGGGAAGCCATCGCCCAGGTGAGCATAAGCCAAAGCCATCCCGAAAAGGCCCCTTTTTCCCAAATTTACTCGCTGTTGGAGGAGGCCCGCGGGCCCCAATTTCCATCTCCCAGCAAAGGCTTCACGTGACCGTCTTCATCTTCATCAGAGCTGACTTCTAAGACATCATCGTTTCGCTGCTGCTGCCACGCACTCTCCCCGGTGCGCTCCCATTGCCATTCTTCAGCATGAAGTGCTTCTTCACTGTCAACACTCCGCTTGCCGGCGGTCTTCGGATTGGCCAGGCGCGGGGATGTACTCCCCACCGAAAGCGACGCCTGGCCCACGTCGCCAGATAGTCACTCGTCGCGAGAATTACCTTGGCCTGTCTGCTTGGCAGCATTCTTGTACCGGCATTCGAAGAACGGATGTCGGTGATGACAACGCCGGCAAACATGCTCAAATTTGCAGCTCTTGCCCGCCGGGCAGCCACCCTGCTTGTTATACTTAAAGCAGATCAGTTTGCCTTCGGGTGTGCGCGAGGATTTGCCCCATTGGCGCTCCCAGGCTGGCATCTGCTTGGCTTTGCCTCCACCTTTGTTGCCCCCATGGGGGGCAGGAGGCGGAGGAAAAGCAGGTTCCTCCTCGCCAAGGCCACTCTGCTTCTTGCCGAGCGTGATGGGGATGATGAAATGCAGGTTCAACAAGTCGGATGAACCCATGGCTTTCTCAATGGCAGAGTTCAGGCATGAGGATTTTCCATCACGAACAAGCCGATACGCAGCCTTGCGTAGCTCGAGCTCATATGCGAGCACCTGCGGCCACTGCGCAGTGCTGCCGTCTGCAGTTTTAATGCCGGCAATGCAACGTGTGCGCCAAGCATATGATCAGAAAGCAATCGGAATGTTTCCACGCACGACGTGGGCAACCAAGTGCGAGTAGAGTGACGGGATCTCACGAAGTCCCATGCCAAGCCCAACCTTCGATGCCGCGGCCGAAGGTCTTCAGGTCCGGCCGGAGGGGTTGTCATAGATTTGCCGGGGCGAATGCGCAATGTCTGGGAGGCAGGATCAACGACTGCCCCATACGCCTCCACATGCGCATCTTCCAGAGATGTCACTTCTCGCAAATCCTCCACGATAGGTGCCCCATCCTCGATCTGCTCCAGCTTTGCCGCAATCAGGGATTTGCTGGGTATCTCGCGGTCTTTCAAAGAGCGACCCTGCGCAGCCTCAACACAGCAGCCCGCATAGCCGCATATTCCGAGTTCTGGACGAGGCGCAGTTGTACTCCAAGCTTGGAATCTTGGCGATTCTGATCTTGGCTCTTGGCATTTGAGCTGCGTGCGAGAACTTTCCCACACAGATGGCAGGATGGCGATCTCTTTGCGCAGCTCGATATTGCCACTTGGATCCAAGCCGAAATCAGACTTGAACACTTCTCGCACAGGCATGGCAAATCACGCTGTAAACTACAGGAGATAACAGGACGCTTGCTACTTGCGCAAACACACAGGCTGCACAGGACGAGCTGCACACAGCTTCCACGCTCGGAACACACAGCTCGACTCAAGACATAGAAACGCTGCGCAAATCCCCGTCATCAATGTGTGTCCCCGAGTAATGCCATGCTCTCATACCGGGCCCCGCCCTGACCCGGGGTCATATGAGATGAAGCTCACACACAGACACTGCATGTGACAAACTCGCACAAACGTTCGCCACTCAGCTGAATACACTGAGTTCACTGCATGCGACTATCTCGCACAAAAGAAATATGAGCACAGGAGTTCGTCTGTGCCGCATTCACACCAAGCTACGATTAACCTAGAACCTAGGTCGTGCGGAGGAATGTAACCCGCAAACTCAAGCTCATTGGGGCCTCAGTCAATCCTCTGCCGCTTGTGCCAGGTTGTCCAACTCACCTGAGCTGCCCGAATCATCCGCTTCTTCTGTCCCCCGGACACAGAACAATCGCCGGAACGCCAGCAATGTCGATAAGCCAGATCATAGCTCGTGCCCTTCAAGCGCCAAACCGGCTCGGATTCCTGCACGTCCATCAGACTGACTCCGCAGCCGCCTTGCCGATGTAAACGCCGAAGTCGCTTCTTCCCATGACTGTGACAAAGTACAGCGCAAGCTCAGCACCGGGTTCCTCTGCTACTGCTTCCGACTCTACGGACTCTATCTCTGGTTCAAGGTCAACCTGCACTGCTACGACGGGCTCCGTAACACGTGTAAACCAGTGACGGTCCAAGCGCACGGGCTGGCAGAGTCGCTCGGCTGCTTCGTCCGCAAGACCTTTGTCACATAAGTACAACTGAAGTTCTTCTAAGCCTGCATTGCGGAGGTCCCATTGATCACGGCCACAGATAGTCGCCATGAGCTGTTCCTGCAATCCTATGATGACCCGCTGAGCTGTACGGAGGTACTCATCGGCAGAAGATGTTGTTAACCAGTTTCTTCTGAATGCTCCTTCCAAAATGTCCGTGCCTCTTGCGCCGGGAGAAGAGGCTGATCTGAAAACACCCATTGGCATCCTTTCTTCACCGGAAGCCGTAGCATCCGCAACAAGTGCTGACTCAAACCGACAACATCAGCATAATGGGCCATGACACGGCGTACTCCAGACCAGTCAGAATGAGGCATGGGCAGAAAGAAATCGCGCTCGAACAATATGGTCTCACTGAGCCATAGCTTCAGCCCTTGTTCAAGCCAGGTCGAACTCATAGAACCGACAGAAGCAGCGATGAAGATCGGCAGATGCCGGACTCGTTTGCCGGGGCCAGTAGTCTTGGAGCGTTCCAGCATCCCTACAAAACCAAATTTCGTTAGCCTCAATGACGCTGGATTCAATGATCGTTCGTCCTGCAAGCCGTCCACAGCTTCAAGAGTTTGTAAAATGCTAGCCCCCGGGCAAACAGCGGCCCAGATTTGTCAGTCACCAACAGCTCGAGTGCACCCACCAGCATCAAAGAGAGAAGCGGCGCTTTCTTTGTCGGCGGTGCCCCGATCTCAAGATCATGCGTTGCCTGGTTCACGAAATTCTTCAGAATTGGCAGATCAGCCAAGCGCTGGTCTGCTGCAACGCCACCCTTCCTCTCCATGAAAGACAGAGCTTCGAGAATGGCGTTGGGAACACTGCGGCCACATGGCTCGGCAACACGATTTTGCAGGTAGTCCAACACCACGCCAACATGTTTCGGCCACGGGCAAGCACTGAGTCCCAAGGAAAAGACTCGCAGCTTTCTCCACTCACGCACTCGCTTGCGTATGGTAGACGCGCGCATGCTCCCAAGTGACGCAGCTATGGCTGACTCTGGGCTCGAGGCCAGCTGGGCTTGCCTAACCAGAGGTGTGTTTGCTTCAATAAAGAGCTCCACAAGATGTGCACGCCACCGCTGCAACTCTGCCTTCTCGATTGTTGCACGAGACAACCCCAACTTAGACTCCGCGAGCTTGCGGGCTGCTCGCGTCGGCCAAGCCTTGCACTCTTTACGAGCTTGACAAGCCAGGACAATGTGTCTTGTAGACCGGCAGCCTCACTGGAATTAGACGACCTGAGCTTCTTGGCCAGTGAGACCTTCTGCCAAGCTGGGTCCAGTAGGCCACGACGCTTGTTTCACCGCTGCGCGCGGGGCAGAGCTTTTGACTGTAAGGCCGAAAAAATCTGGATTGCCCTGCGACGGTCATGTTGAGGAACAAATGAGCTCATCTCTGCCGCTAACTCGCTCGCGTCTTCAAACATGTACGCCAGGAAATCATCATCGGGCAAATGCCCGCCAGCTGCACCATAAGCTGTGCGAAACCTTCGCGGGAGCTGCGTCCAAAGATCTGAGTCTGGCAAAGATAGATCCACGGTTTCAGTGTCTGATTCACTTTCAGTGGAGGACGCCATAGTACAAGATCGAAAATCAGGGCGGCTCCCACACTCCCGATCTACACACCGACAAAAACAACGATCACTGTGCTTCAGCCACACAGCTTCAAGTATGAACATGTCGCACTGTTGCGGCACACGACAACATCTGCAAACTCCCACCTATCAAAACACGACACTGCAAACACGTGCCTCCCTGCAACACGCAACCTCACACGCCAGACAGGAGCAACGGCAAGCACACACACACACATACGCAGGCACAAGACAACTTCCTCAAACAAAGACTCTATCGGATCCCCTTTTTTCGCCCCTCCGGTTCGACCCGCCTACTACTAGCTGCTACCGCGCGGCTGTAACTGCGAGTGCTAGTACTGGTACCAGTACTAGTACTGATGCTTGTAGTCGCAGTATCAATGCCAGTGCCAGTAAACCAGTTGGATGAAGTGCTTGGAAGCCCACGGGATGGTACTAGTACTTTCCATATCAATGCTCTGGCAAAATTCGGTGAAGGAGCCTTTCCAGACCTTTGCAGGCAAGCGCGTGCTGCTGGTTCCAGATGTGCCGGGGCGCACTCCTGAAGCAACAACAGAGGCCTTTCGGTTCACTGCACGGCTGGATGACTACTTCATGCAGCACTGCGGCGTGACTCTCAACCTTCGACCCAAATTTCAGCGCCACCCCCCTGAATGACTCAGCGGCCTTGAAGACACGGCTGGCATTCTGCAGCAGGGACCGCAATCCAGCCAAAGCTGCCAAGCCTAGTCTGTGGACGGCTAGGCCAACAAGTTTATGCGAGGCAGAGAGACCACAATCTATCGCCCAGCGACTTCTGACTCTAACCACCAGCAGTACCACGGTGCCAGTTACCGTGACCGCTTTCAATGCAGACAGCAGCGCCGAGGTGTCCTCACCTGACTTGCGTCTGGGTGGGGTTTGCGTAGAAGTTCGGATTACTAGTTGACGGTCAGGGGGCTCTCTGCACCCAAGATTCTGTACACCACGTCGGTTGCTAACACGGTGGAAGCTCCACGGCATTCTGCCGGCAGCTGCTCATGCCACTCCCAGCGACTCGTACGAACTTCTAGGCCAGTCTCCTGGCAAGTGTTCTGCTTTCACGAAGCAGTGCCGAGCACTTTGACGATGGATTGACATGTGCGCTCAGGCGGGATCGTCCACGCATTGGCTACTCATGGCTACTCTCCTTTACATCCTGTCAATCAGATAGCAAGACCAGCCCATGGACAGATTGGAAAATCCATACCGCATCTCATGGGGACTCTTTTCCTGGCCGAACTCCGGTAGCACCCGCTTCTGTTCTCAAACTGCATCCCTCTCCTTGGCCGACTGCTGCACCACATGTAAGGCGCGCTCGCTCCGATCTGTCAGGACGACCTGACCAGGCCGCAGGCTCACCGCATCGGTCTGAGAAGCTCCAGGCCTTTGCTCCCAGTGCTGCTGCAGTGAGTCCAGCGCAGCCCGTGCCACAGCCCAGCTCCACGACCTACTGCGAAGTGCAACACAAGTGCAACACACCGCAGCCGCTGGAACGGCCTTGGATCCCAGAAGGGATGGTTCCTCGCAAAGCCGTCTTGCCAGCAAGGCAGCGCAGTCATACATGACCTGCTATACGAAGCTGCAAGATGGTATGAGCAGATACAGCTACACTCAACAAGAAAGCTCAGCTCGCGACTCCAGCAATGCCCACGGAAGCATCTTGGTGCAACACCTCGCTTTCATGTTTGAGTGTGCACGAGCCCTTTTTGACAAGACTTCTGCTTCACGGTATCTTGGCTGTAGCGACAGACCGTAGAGGCTGTTTCATCTGAGCCCTTCACTAGATGTAGCTGCTTGCCAAATGTTGGGACAAGGGTCAGCGTCAACCTGCACGGTCAGCAGCGGCATCCGTATAACTGCTCAAGCGGCAAACTTACAGCCAACATTGCGTAGCCTCTCCCGCAGAGCTCTTATGTTGTTGCTGGGTTCACGTGTATCCGAGTGTACTAATGCCGAAAATTCGTCTGCGACCGGCCTTCTTCGTGTGTTCGGGTGTGTATGTACGCATTCATAGACCAACATAGTGGAAAGACTCTGTGTGTGTATATATATATATTTCTTTCTTTCTTTCTTTCTTTATTTGTTTATATGTGAAAAATATATACACATATCGGTGTATGCATGCACTTACACGCAACTGCATAGCAGCAGTCGTAGTAGTAGTCGTTCGGAGTAGCACTGGGAGTAGGCGTGGGAGCCGGAGTCACACTGCGGCGATGAGTTGGCGAAGTGAAGAAGCTTTGCGCCAATGTGTAGCACGAAGAACATCTCGCTTGTTGAGGGTATCTAACTGAGTGAAACACAAACAGCGACCTCTGGAAAAAATCCGACACCGTCCACATTGCTCCTGATGCGCATGGCTTTGGCAGTGTAGTTGAACTTGACTAGTACGACGGTTTCGATCGTCGAGGACCATGATATCAGCTCGGCATGGAATTATAAACTTGTCAAGAATTCCAAATCAGTGCAGCAGCAGCAGCAGAAGTGGTGAATGCCATTGTTGCAGTCCAGTATGTACGAGGATGAGTGGAACTGGCTATGGTGGGCATAGTGACGACGGAGGATGACGTCGCCCGCTTCTCGATCCCCTTCGCTGGCCTCTTGGCCTCAGCTCGCTCCAGGTCATCGAAGGAGCGAGGCGCCAGCTCAATACGCAGCCCCATGAAAGCTGTGATCTTCAAAGAGCCAAACAGCTGACGACATCAAATGCATCGTAGCATAACCCATGCACACATAGCGAGCTCTATCTATCTCTTTCTCTTTGTCGCTTGTCTGTCTCTTTCAGTGTGTAGGACACACACAAATACACACAGATACACCGACCCACGTAATACACACACACACACACGCACAGTGAACGCGAATGTAAATATGGATGCACATCTCGGCCCATGCGTTTTAGTGGACTTCGCGAGAAGCTACACAAAGATTCTGGCCGAATCTGAAACTTGATTGTGCGGAAGTGAGTGAAGACACAGGAATACTCAAAACCTACGTGGGCGGTTGGGGTGTTCGGGTTTGCCGTTGGTTCTTCTGATGTTTAAAGGGTGAAGTCCACGAGGCGCCAAAAGGTTTCTGTGTTTAGGGGAGCGGATTGCTGCATACTTCTTGATGTAGGTAATTTATGTTGTTGTAGGAAACATCTTATGCTTGTTTCAAAACCGCATCCTGCCTTGATGCCGGGAAGCTGTAGCAGCAAGAAGCAGCGACGCCACAGAACCAAGAAGCCATGATTGTTGTGAAGGCGGTGTGTGCAAGGTTCACCTGAGCTCTTTGCAGTACTCTGTTCAATACCACATCGGCTCTTGTTAAACGAATCCAAAAAAGCGAATGTCCCAGAGCATGGGCACTCGCCTTGACCCTGTCGAAACAGTGTGGGTCAGGCGACTCTGCGAACGAGACTGCTGGGCACACGCACTTTTGCAGGCCTAGGCGCCTTCGTTGGACCCTCTGACGCTCTGGTGCCCAAAGCGGCGCACGCAAAGGCCCGGGCTCGGCCTTTCAATTCAACTCGCTGCCCCCCCTGCCCCAGCTTGTCCTAAACAGGAACCCGAAGCAGGCCGTTTCTTGCAAGACTTGCAGATGCAGGGTTTCGGAATGTTGCAGTACCCGAGGACCTGCCGGCCCTGTCGTGCTGTGCTTGTGTGATTTCTTTGCATTGCCTTGAACGGCTCCTTTTACGATTCTTGTCAATTCTTGTCTGATTTATTTTGCAAGGAGCATCAAGTGCGTTTCAGTTCACTACCTGAGCCGCCTCGGAAAGTCCACCTTGCGCGCATTTGCTCGCCAACTTTTCACTCCGTCCGGTCAAGAGAAGCCATAATTACTTCGCGCCCTCTGCGAATCTACACACTCGTATGCTGGATGATACTTCATGGCTTTCGTCAACTAGGCCTGCTCTTCACGGCTGAAATCCTCGGCGCTCATGTAAAGAACGATGTTCCGACCTCTGCTTGCAGCATCGAAGACTCTTCGGCATCACAGCGTCAGGTGTTGCCCAGCCGGCACTCTCCACTGCACTACCGAGCACACCACCTGCAAATGGCAGCCGCGCTGCCTTCATCCGAGCATCCTTTAATTAAGCATCAGGTGTTGCCATGTCTTCGGAGCCCCAAGCAAATCCTTTTCTTTGCCGATTCTGCGAATCAGCATTGCCGTCCTTCTCCCGTAGGAAGCGCAGAAGTCCTGTGTATCCTGGATGCATGGACACAGACAGGTCACAACTCGAAGCCGCGTTCAGAAGCTACTTCTCGCGGAGCACATCCAGTCGAGGGGCCCGTAACTCCACTGCCATCGATGAGACGTCGGTCGCTGAAGAGAGTTGGGAAAACGCAGCAGGGCACCACCTGGCAGCTTGGATGAAGGCTCACAAAAAAACAGACGCGTGACTGCTTCCAAGTCACGGCGAAAGGGCAGCCGGCCAGGAGGGCCAACTCCACCACTGCATCCGTGGCCTCTTCGAAAGATCACCAAGCCATGGAACTCATCGGATAAGCTGTCCTCGTCCGGGTGCATCGCAACCACGGCGCGGGCCTTGCCGACCAAATCCCGAGATGAATCCTGGTTGTGCATTCATTGCGCTGCAATACATGTCAGAAAAAAGGTCTCGGGCTCTGCATCTGATAAGAAGCTGGCATCAAAGTGTGCCCTGACATGTCGCACGGCAGGCTCCGAGTGGACATCCTCCTGAGCTCGTCGCCCAAACCGTCATCTTCAGCAGAGTTTCAAACTTCTCACTTGCTTCTAGCTGGGTATGCCTCACCCTCTGGATGGAGGTCGGACATTTCCACCGTGGGCAGGCTCCTTAGACGGCAGGCCCGCGTTGTCAATATACTCAAACCTCTGCCAGGTAAGGAAAGACAAGACTGAAGATCAACACCCAGGCGCTCAGAAGTTTGCCTGGGGTCGACTACTACCACATCTGCGATACCACGTGAGCGCAAAGCGAAAGCCAGAGCTCCTGTTGTCAACTGGTGCACACATTGCACGCACTCTCGCTGCGATGTTTTGATAATTCCAAGCGTCCTTTTCCTCCGGCTACCTCAAGGATGTAGCCGAGGCTTGCAGAGCCCTCACGACGAGAGCAAGGAAGAGCAGCACAGGGCATGAACTCCTACGTCCATGCACAAAGCCGCCTCCATTGACGGCAAGAGTTCTGCAGCAATGAAACTGGCGAAAACGTCATGTCTCACGTCCTCCCATGTTCCATGTGATTATGTAGGCTTGAGCCTCTCTGATGTGGCATACGGAGGCCTTGCACCGCAGACTGCTGATATCACCTTTTCTGGATCTGGCGCTAAGGGAAAGAAGCCGGTCTGCCTGGAAGGAAGGCACGAATTTCTGTTTAAAGGTATAAGGCAACAGACGCATCTCCTTGAGAGCCGAGCTTGGAAGACGGGAGGCCCGCTCGCCTTGCTTTCTTCCGGGTCTTCCTCACAGCAGGGAGACGAGACATAAATAAGAGACAACAAAAAGAGTCTAAGACTACGGAGGTTTTTTTTTACTGTGCAGTACAGTGTACCGGCTCAGTTCCCCTATTTGGGAGGTCCTGGCAAGCAACGCTGCACGTCAGCGAGAAATCCTGCTTGCTCATGGCCAGGGCGCGCGTGCGTGGAAGCTTCTCCGACAGTACCTGCTATCTGGGCAAAGAGTTGCATGCCGTGTCTGATGGATGGTTATATGACGAGATGGCACCAAAAAGTCGAACCAGCAAAAAAGCGATGCCAAGCACCTTCAAGTCAACGGCCCGGCAACGCTCATCGGATTCCTGGAAGACCACCTGAACTCGGTGACCTTGTCGGGCCATAACGGTCATCACTTAGTCAGACTTCGTCACAGAGACGGGGACGCTCGCGCCTTCAGCAACGCCTGCCACGATGGCAAGCCTACGGCCGAAACTTCGATGCTGGTCGATAAGGTTCAGTGTCAGCAGCTTCCGCAGGTCGCCCTCAGTTTTACAAAACAGCCATTCAGGGAAGACCGCGAGACTTCGCCGAGAACTCGCCTGTGGCTCAGAAGGCTCCCCCAATTCCGAATGAAGCGACAGCTCCAGGCCATCATTTTTTTGAGCAGCTGTCATCCGATCACTGAGGAACGCCTGTAATTTGGAAAGGATGCCCAGCCTGAAGCTACACTGCAGCCAAAAGGTCAGCCGGCGAGTCGACTTTCTCATTGGAAGCTTTGGTGAAGTCTCAGCAGTTCAGCCCGAGCTAAGTCGTTCCGCTGGGCCAGGCCAATTCTATTTTAGTCCCAGAGGGCTTGACTGGCTGATCTGCCAATCAAGATGGATCGTTGGCTCCTGCACAGATGTTCATAATGCACTCCGTATTGGCTTCTGTGGCTTTGCCTGTTCGAGAAACGGCAGGTCCTGCTGCGAAGTGACTCAGCAGTTTGGGCAAGCCGATCCAGGTTGGCTCGACGCTGCTCTCGTCGTTTTTGGGCCTACGATAGATGCTCCAAGATTGTCTGATGCTGCAGATGTCCCCACCGAACTATGCCTCCTCGGGCTTGTGCAGCCCCAACAGGATGCGATTCTTCGGTGTGATGGCCTGGCGTTTTTTGCACCAGCATGTCTACTGCGACCTGCTGCGCTCTGCCAAGAGCCAGGCCGCATCGATTTGTCGCAGCCGGGCCTGGCTGCGCCAAAGTCGCGGTGATTCTGACTGATCTCTTCGACAGATGAGAGGCTGACGATGTAACCCGGCGCTGCATCGATCGCGCCCAAGCGCAGCATGTCGTAGGCAAGTCCACGGTCCATGTGATAGTCCTTCGGGCTCAGAGATGGTCGTGACGAGCACTGCAGGTGCAGTCGGGCCTTGGCCAGCTTCCGCAGCATTTCTCCACGTGCTCCCTGCACTCCCGCAACTAGTCAGAGCATGGCAAAGCAATGACGAACCCACCAATCTCTGGCAGTATCCCGGCCTTCTCACCATGGCAACATGGCACGACGGCGAAGCTGACTTCTGCTTGCAAACACTCGTGAATCAGCTCATCGGCAAGAACTCCACAGGCGTGACACGCCGTGACCACGGTTTGAGCAGCTTCGACGCCAGCTTCTTCCATCAACGTTCGCAGCCAGCCTGCAGTTCTCAGATCCACATGCCGATGCTCGATCTTTGCATCAGGAGCCCATGCTGCTCGAAGGTTGGAGTAACCTCTCGGCTGATAGATGTCTGCCACGATGGCCTGCTTGATGCGACCGCTCGCGAGAAAGGCCAATGCAATACCTCCGTGACCGCCCGCAGCATCCACCAACAGCTCATTGTCTCCCAGCAGCCGTCGAGTGCGACGGTGAAATGCCAGGCATTCCTTGATTTCTTTGACTTCCGGCCTTGGAGAAGCACATTTGTGCCAAGCTTGAAGCAGGCCGATTTCGAAGCGCCCTTGCTGTGTCCCCTCTCGTGGGAGCTCGGTCGGTCCTGCTTTCAATGCCCTCCACTCGCGCTTCCCCTGCTTGCAGCACCGCCAACATGTCCAATTCAAGCCGACCAGGGTCAAGCGCGGGAAGCTCCAAGGGCAAATTCCACTCAATTGCGGCCAGGATGGCCAAACAAACGAGCGCCGCGGCTTCGTGCAGCAAAAGGGCTCGCATGGCAATGCGCCCTTGAGCAAGGGATTCTGAAGCATGGCCCCCCAAACCCAAGTGACACATAAGATGCCACTACGCCTGTGTTGCAAACGTCGACAATTCCAGCCCCGTGCTCTTGCTCTTGCACACGATTGGCGAACTCCATGCGACCGCATGTTGCTTTCTGCACTGCATCTTGAGGGTTCGGACTCGGGCCGTGACTACTCCGTTGTAGTTGGCGATCTGATGCAAAGCCTAAACACATTCTGCCGCATCAACCCGTGCCCGGTTCCACATCCCGCGCATGCATGTACGACATGAATCGTCTTTTCTCCGCAGTAGCCCACATCCCCGCTGCGGATTGCGACGATGGAGAGCTGCTCCCAGCGAAGCAATGGCCTCAATGCACTTGCAGTGGCAGGGTGCTTCCGAGTTTTCGGGACATTCACTGGGTAAGGTGCGCTGCTACATCCGGAAGGCTACATCGCGCTGCCAAGTGTAGCATTGTTGGAGGCAAGCGGACGCAACTTTTCTGGCTCATCGCCCACGGCCGTAATCCACCTGCTTTGGTACCTGCCAGGCTGACGAAGCGCAGCATTTCGCAGCAGCATTCAAGACTTGGACCTCGCAACGATGCAAATGCTCGTCGAGGTAGTGCTGCAGGATAACAATGGCATGGGACCCTGCCGGCTTACGCAGCTGAGAGCTGTGGTCTTTTTAATTGGTGAGATGGGCGCACGCCTAGCAAAGTCGTGCCGCCGAGGGAGGTGCGCACAATATCCGCTTGCATGGAGCGTGCAACCTGCGAACTTTTAAGTGCTCGAACGTCGACAGTTGTGCCAACTTCTGTGGGGCACCTCCTCGTAGGCCTGGACGTCGTGAGGCCCGAAGCCGCGGTGGTCACCCAAGACAGCTACGATACCCACGACGTTGGTCCTGGTGCTGCGCCAGCTAAACAGATGCTGCACAAGTGCTGCACAGCTGTACCTCCCACCTGGAAATCTGCTTCAGCACTTCGACGATCGGCTCCCCCTCTGCATCCAGCATCAGCATGACCTGGATCCGACACTTGTTGCTGCCGGCATAAAGTCAACCACTTCATTGCCCGGAGGCCCTACTTGTAGAGGCTCAATGGCAACAGCGTGGGCACCTACGAACTTTAGGACTAGTACGAGGTTGTGACCATGGAGCTCCTATGAGCCCCTATGACACCCAAGAGCTCTTGCTCGCAATCTAGACTTGCTTCTCTAGCATTGCTGCTGGGGACTGGATCGATGTCGTAGATCAAGACACGCAATCTGTGAATCGTCCAACTCATCACCTTTCAAGCAATGATCTGTTCCCACGATTCTGTGGTGACGTGCATGCTTGCCCAAGGTGGGAACATCTTCAGCCGTGCACTAGCCGTGCTTACGAAATCCAGCGACTCTGCCCTACGTGCTGAGAAATACAAGAAACAGGAGCAAGGATCTGAGTAGCAATGCCAGTCATCCCGTAAGCACGAAGCAATAAATTCCGGGCTGCGAAGCTGGCCCAACAAGCCTTAAGCCTGCACCCTACTTCCTCCCACCGTCCCGGTCCCAGAGCCGAGTGGCCACGCGACCCTCAGCTGGTTCCGAAGTCTTCTTCTTCAGCGCAGCCTCAACCGGAAAATCAAAGCTCGATTCTGCAGGCTCAAAGATCTTAAGGGTTGCAGGTTTGACCGGGGCATTTGCTGGATTCTGTCAACGAGGCATGGTTGGGCTCAAAACAACAACAAATATATCTGAGTGCCAGTTACAGGTCCCTCCTGCGATCGCACAGCTGCACCATCATAAGAGGGTGGCTGACCACTCATGACTCGGTAGTTGCCCCTTCCTCCTTGCCCACCCTTCTTCCGAAGCCTTTACGAAGCAGAGGGTGGGTCTTCACCGAGCCGACCCGGCCTTGAGTGCGGCCTTCGTAGACCGTTCTTTGACCTCCAGCCCTCTCAGGTTCGATGCACACCAAGCCTCGCCAGGTGCTTCCAGAGGCAGTGCACTGCATTGACTGCATTGCATTCCAAATGCCCTCGGCGATTTCTGGCCTCCGGATCTTCGTCCGGGTCCGGCAAGCCTCGACCCGCGAAGAAAGATTCGAAGGCCTCAAAGACGCGGGAAGCCAGGCGTGGCTCGTCTGGCACCAGGCCTCCCAGCGTTCCGCATAAACCGTACACTCCCAGCCCAACCCTCTCCAAGCACCACTCCGCCTCGGGCAAACGCGCCCGAAACTTCGAGGGTGTGGTTGCTGGCTTCGAAGGACAGGCAAACCTGCCCACATTGATGCCAAGCGTGGAAGCAGCTTGGCCAGGAACGTCTGTGCCTGCGTGTTGCGCCGCAGCCCTTGGCTACGAAACAAAGCCGCAGAGACACAGCGCAAGCCCACGTCAGCGCGGCCGCAAGCTCGGGGATCGTCAGCTGTGAACCTGTCTCTGGGCTTGGCTGGCAGGATGGTAGCTGCCGAAAAGACAAAACCAGCTTCTTCCGAGGGGCGTTTGTGCATTTGCCCTCTGCAGGGGCAGCAGAAAGCGGCGCCAAAAACAAGGTGCCTTCGGCCTCCCATCGCTGCTAGCTAGTGCCAGTGTACAGACGACAATGTTACTACGATGTACAGTACTGTGCCTGAAATCGGCGGCGTACCCACAAAAATCGCACGCAAGGGGGAGCATTTTCTTTATGAGCTTAGACAGGGCCTCGTGCCCTCACAGGGCAGGAAGCGCTCCGAGGACTTCGCACCAAAGGTGCAGCGCTTCGTGGTGTGGCCCACCTGACGCAAAAAGGACAGAGATGGACATAGGAAAGACTTGGGATCACATGCAGCAAAACCGCCAATCTCAGATCAAAGAGTGGTTGCCTTGCCACAATGATTGCACCCTTCCAAGTTGGTGCTGTCACTGAGCCTGGCAGGCAAGGGCAAGGGCTGCTGGGCGATCCCCCACCTCAAGCTCCAGGCTGCCTGTGTCCTTCCTCCTCGCAGCGGCTGGGGCGGCTCAATTCAGAGCTGGTCAGCTCTGGCGTCCCGGCAGGGGCGGCAACACTGGTAGCCTCTGTCTCGTTTCGCTTTCGCTTTCTCGCAGGGGTGGAGCTCACCGCAGGCTCTGTCACACTGCACCATGCAGGCCTTGGCCGGACACTCATAGTAGGCACTTTGACTGAGATTCCTTGTGCCATCAAGGTGCAAGGCATATGCCAAGCTCTCCAGATCGGCCAACCGCGGCATGCGCCGCCTCCGCTGCCGCTGCCGTCAAACAGCAAGAGTCTGAGCCGATGCCAGCCGAGGCGCTTCCGCAAAACGTGCAGCAAAGCGGAGCCTTGGGTCCACCAGAGTCTTTAGCTTGTTCTTTGATGTGAGTGGCTGAGTTTGGCAGGATTGAAACGAGAGAACGGTGGAACACCTGCTGTCAGCACTTCGAAAACCGCCCTGCTTAGAGTCTGTGCCAGGGGGCGAGATCTGGAGTTTGTCTGCAGCTCTTTTTCGGAAGGTCGCGTCTGGGGCGGACACAGCTATGATCGGGTCGCAGGTTGCCGATGGCAGAGCCTGTCGATGCCAAGGCCCGGGCAACCTCATCCATTTCCATGGACCACCTTTCCGGCAGTTGTTCTGCATCTGGCAAAGTGCCTCTCGAGTATGGATGGCTTCTTTGCGAGGTGGCTGCGGAAGCCAGAGGAAAAACACAACCTAGCCCTCGCGTTGCAGGTGAGTGGCGGTACCATTTCAGGAGGGGCTCCTGGATTGTCAGAGCGAAGGCCGGGAAAGATCAAATGCCGGAAAGGACACGAACACTACTTCTCTCCTTGTCTCTGACAGCCTCGAGCGACCGAAAAATGTCCATGATCTGAGTCACCGAAAGCGTGCAGAGAAGGGCTGTCGCGATGTTGCGCTGTCTCCAAGAGCATGGCGATTGCACACTCGGAGTGCTTCCAAGAGATGAGGCCGATGCGGCCGCCCTCGCCGAGCAGACCGAACCTTGCGAGGAGCGAGTAGGAAAAGAGCCGCCGGATGCCGCAGAACAAACGCAGCACGCACACTTCTGCACACAGTCACACCATACGTGCTGAATCTCAGCTGGGAACGCCGCCGAGATTCCCTGCAGCAGCAGCTATGTGCAAACGCTCATCACAAGACGGCGTGTTGGCTCAGCACATCGCAGATACTTCTGACTTGGACCAAAAAAAGTGAATCACGTATTTCCTCTATGGCTTTCTTGGGGTTGCCCATCTGAACGAAAATGCTGTGCACGGCTCGTGCAGTTCTTGTCTTTGCTTTAGCAGAGTGCAGCAGGACGCGCATGCGTTCTTCCTGGATCTGATGTAGTAGCCCATACTAGCTCGACAGCCTGCAGGTTTTCCAGGCCAGACTGATTTTGGCAGATACATTGAGTGCATCAACAGTGCCAAAAGCCGTCCGGGTCATGAAAGGAAAGGCCCCAGTCTGAGTCGTCCGAATCTGTCCACCAGGGGTCCCGCAGGTGCGCTGTAGAGGCAACGGTGCTCAGGTCCACCAGACCAGTATCTCTTGCTACCCTACTGGTCACAAGACACACGACGACACTTCCTTTCTTGGGCTAAGCTGGGATGACGTTGCAACAAACAGAAGCATTTGCCTCTCCACTCGCAAAATGTGAAAGCAGGTACCAAGGTGCCCAAGCCTTGCGCATCTCGTCAAACCTGCTCGGCTATAGTCGTAGACTTGTCTTCTGATGTCGCGGCAGATTGCTGTAAGTTTTGGGCTCGCTGTTCAAATGGATGCGCAGCGCCTGCAGGCTTGCACGACGGTGGAGCTCAAGCGCTACGTCACTGAGACAGCTCTAAGCAGCAGGTCTGCTGACAAAACCCAGCCTGAAAAGTGAGCTTCGCTGGGTGCATGGCTTGATATTCCGGTCCCTTCCACAACCACAACGAGAAGTAGATTGCAAGTTTGACAATCGGAGCGTGAGCAGCTGAGCAAATGCTTATTACCAGACTGCCTTGCCCTGCGCCACGAGTGTTGCAAACTCTCGGGTCCGCTTCCTTAGCTCGTGGATGCAACCTTTTGCCTCCGCTGCGCCTTTATGCACGCCGACCCTGGAGATCCCTAACCTATCGCAGCTGCGTCACGGCAAGGCACCCTTGGAACGTGCCAGGCAAATAACGTCCGCGATTCGCTGCGAAGCTGTTGCGTCCGATGTTTCACCGTACCTTGGAAAAGCAAGCGTTCATGCCATCGGCGTCCAGAGAGCAGCATGCTTGGCAAGGTACTCCGAGATGACCCGAATGATCTCCTGGTGACAACAAGCAACGAAACCGGACGCGGAGCAAGGAAAGCTGTCTGCGTCCTCGCGCGAAGCGGACATGAGAAAGTCCCACGCAGTGACGCCCTTGGTCTGGTCAAACCGCAAATCCAAAGGGCCGTCTGCCTTTCAGCGTCACTGTTGTGCTCTTGAGCTGCCGTCTCGGAATCCCCTCCCTGCCTCGGGCCGAAATCCACGGCCAGCGTCATCAAACTGTGGGGAAGAAATTCCAAGGTCAAAAAGAACCTCAACACGTTCGAGGCTTGATCGAGTCTTCCCTATTCCTCTCCCACTTGGTTCTGGTTGTGTTACAGCTATAAGGCCAGCGCAGCAGAAACACGAACCCCGAGGGGCTTCAACACGGCCTCTTCCAGAACATGACACGGATTCTTCTGCTTGGCCAAGGGAAGAGGTCGCCTTCATGGAGCTGAAGGGCGCGTGGTGGATGGTAAAGCGTGAATCAGCCTTCGGGCACTTCTGGCTTTGCAGGAGGGCCAGGGCTTCGTGGGCCTTCGGCAATTGCTGGCATCTGCCTTCATCAGTTCCTTGCCTGCGACGATGGCCTCCTGGCAGACTGTACGCCTGTATCAGCGCCACCCTCCTTTTTATAACCTGGGCAAGGATTGCCGGATCCATGTCGAACGCGTGGAGGGAGCCCGATGGCGACATTGCCGCCAACATCGCGCGTGTGTGACCGCCACGACCAAACGTGCCGTCCACGTAGACACCGCCTGGGACGTTCGCTGACAATCGAAAGCAGCAAAATCCAGTCCTCCCACAGCAAACAACAGTGTGAAGCGCAAACATTGACCAGTCAAGCAATCAAGAACAGGCAGAATCTCTGTTGGTTGTGATTCCGTTGCTATGCTCTTCAGAAGCGCAGCTGCTGAGACCAGCTGTTGACATGCACATCACACCTACCTCGCCAAACCCCGCAGTATACTGGACGGAATGCCTGGATTTGGTGCCACCAGCTTCTTCACCTCAGTCCGAACGAGGGTCTCAAGTAGCCCGAGACTCGGCCGTCACAAGTGGCGAAAGACGATGCATGGGAACCCGACCACTTCCGCACAAAGTGCCGGGGTGTGCGTTCCAGGAGCTTGCACTGACGGCCGGATGCCCGTGTGGAACCTTGGAATGATCGAGCTGTCTGCTCACATACCATTTGAACATCGATGCACAATTCAGCACAGACAAAGAGACGGAGAGGGACGTTCTACGTGTTTGATATGCATTCTGTGCTGTGCTATATACTATGCTATGACACGATATGGAAAGATATGATATGACATGATCTGACCTACCGGCATACATATGTGTATATGCATGTCTACAACAAAACCCGGGCACAGAGATGCGACCTGCAGCTTAGCTGCTGCTTGCCGGCCTTGATCTCCAATTTGCGGCCCTGAAAGCTGGAGCCGGTCCAACCTCGCTGTCTCTGGAGGATCCCAATCCCCCGCCAAAAACGCAGAAATTGCACTGCTACTGGCACCGCAGTCACAGGATTCTAGTGCATCTTGCACACCTAGACCGAAGATCCAAGCTTCAGGCTTATGGCGGTCTGAAAGGCGTCCTTGCTCGCGAAGGTTATCCAGGCAATGCCCTGTCGGACGGGCACTGCCAGATGGTTAACCTACTTTGGTTCGACTCGCAGAGCCTTGCAGTTGCCAGTCTTGCTGTCGAGCATTATCCGAGGCTCGCCCACCTCAGGCTCAGAACGTCATGAAAGCCTCGAAGCCACTTGCATCCAGGCCGCTATATCGCCAGCCTGCAGGCTAGGCTTTCCCGGGCGAGAGTACACCGTGGGAGTTCAGGTTTCCGGACTTTCCCTGACCTCGCCGAAAAACTCCTTCAAAGACGCAGCGCTGGCCGAAGGAGGCAAGAACTTGATGAAAATCTCGAAGCCCTCAACCTGGCCAGGCTTTTTGTGCGGAAATGGCAGTGTGTAAGTGGAAGGGTTCCTTAATGTGCCGTTCCATTCCAGTGTGAGACTTGCCGAGGATCGCGCCTGCCCAGCCGCATTTTTTGCGAGGCCGAGCGTGTGCGCCATGTTAGCGGCACAAAAAGGGCTCGAGTGCGCAAGGCAAGGCGTTGTGTCTACATAGTGGGCTGAGGCTTCACGGAGATTTCAGTGTCGACACCCAAGTCAGAAGTTCGGGATGTTGCATCATGCAGCTCTGGGGTCAGCTCAATCAAGCCTAGAAGGCCAGAACAACATTTTAAGCTGCCCCTAGCTTTCAGTCAGGCAGTCAAGCTGGCAAAAACGCACGCAAAACGTTGCAAGTGCTAAGTGCGTGCACCAGGCGCCCATACAGCAGTCCAACGTCTGTTAGCCCGTCCAATCCTCGTCTCATGGAGAAGCGTGAGGTGAACGCCAGTCATGGCAGGCTGATCCAAGGCAGTGGCCCAATTCGCCCACTCGCGATTGCGAGTTCCAACCCGTGGCGTGTCGAGTCATGTCATCAAGGCATCGCAGCAGCGGCTGAAAGGTGCCTCGGCCGAAGAACCTCAGCTGACCGTTCGGCATAAGGCCTAAGGTTGGAGGCTACAAGGCACCGGCCTTGCGATGCTGTCCTTGCATAGGGATGCTGTATTTAGCCTTGGCCGTGCAAAGGCTCCTTCTTCGCTCAGCCGAGTGCACACTTGAGGATGAAGCAATGCAGTCGCCACTGGAGCCAAATCTGCTGCCAGGGAAGGGATCCCGGAGCCGGCCGCCTAACAGAAGTGGCTAAGCTCGTTGAAAGCATGATGAAGCCAAGTTTCAAGCCTTTGCGGCGTGCCAAGACTTAGACGATCTGTCCATCCAGCTGAGCGACCTGGGTTCATCTTTGAGGGCTTGAGGGTGCCTCGTTCGCCGATTGCTTCCGGTCCACCTCTGCGCGACCTGGCTTCTTTCGCAGGCCGTGGATGCTAGGAACAGGCCGATGCTCCGGGAGGCATTGAAGGAGGCCTAGGCTGCCGGCTTGCGGCCGTCCGCAACATTCCACCAGTGAAAGGGTATCCAATGAAGACAAGATTCCAGGTCCGAGGGCCCCAGTCTGTCTAGGTCAGTGTCGAAGGAGAGCAACAGGCATGCCTGGCAGCAGAATTGGCTGCGGCATACCCATTCCAAAGCCAGTGGCCCTGCTCCCGGCGGAGTGAGTAGACTGTCAATGCTTGTGGAGGCAGTTTGGACAGCAAGACGGAAGCGCTTCGGTCGAGAAAGCATGCTCAACGCACTGGTCCAGCAGCGCAATTCCACAGCACCAGGGCTGCAAGTTCTGTGCAGTCCTTGCCACCAGGATCCATAGAGGATGAGTGCAAGGTTCGCAAGACGGGAACACTTCTGTTCAGAAGACAGGCCAAACAAGGCAAAAAGAAAGACTGAAGCGCTGTCTCACAGGCCCACACTGGAGTTCTCCTCTCCCTCAGCGGTGTCTGCGGGAGGAAAGACGCCGCTCTGCTGATCATACCATTCGTTCCAGGAGCGGAGCTGCTCAGCAGAGCGTTTTGATCGCCAATACAGCTGAGCCAGCAGGATCTCCTCGGCCTCAAGGCTGTAGAGCTCGTTGTGCTCGGGGATCACCATGCTGGAGTAGAAGCGTCGCATGAAGCGATGCAGAAAGCCCTCCAGCTGCAAGGCCTGGGCGGGAGTGCGACAGATAACCACGGCAGGGAGGCTCTCCAGGCGGATGCCATCGGGAACGTACTTTCGCTTGTAGAAGAGGAGTCGTTTCGAGAGGCCGAACTCTTTCTTAAGACCACTCGGCGACAGGTGGGAAGCGCCCAACTGAAGAAAGCTCGTGAACTTAATCAAGTGAACGAAGCCTAACGTGTTATGAGCTTGGATGGATCGGCTTGTCAAACTTTCCAGGTTGAGCTCGTCCAAGATGCGCTGGCAGACTTCCTTGATGCGCTCCTCATAGTCAGGCAGGCGGCGACCCATCCAATTCGGAATGGCAATGCGGTATCGGTTCTGGACAATCTGTGATCGCTGTTCGGGCAGGTCAGTCATGTCGGGCAGGCCTTGGTTCTTCTCAAGCTGGTAGGCTGAGAGGCCAGACGAGACTGGTGGTCCACCAGGGGTATAGGTCCAGCAACCTTCTCCATCGAGCAAAGGTGGCAGCCCCTCGAAGTGTGCACCTGCCTGAGAAAAGCAGATGCGATGCAGTCGCTGCCAGCCGTCCACATCGATATGTCCGCTTCGATTCAAGCGAGTCCAACGCTGCCAACGCTCTGCCCGGCTTGTCAGTGCATGCGCTTCCGGAGGCACCGCACATGCCGCAGCACGCACCGCAGGCCACGCACCGCCGCAGGCCACGCGCCGCCGCAGCCCACGCACCGCCGCACGCACCGCAGGCCTGACACACCGCACGACGCACCGCATGACGCACGCACCGCCGCACAGGCCACGCCGCAGGCCACGCACCGTCGCAGGCCACGCACCGCCGCAGGCCACGCGCCGCCGCAGGCCACGCA